AAAAAAAAAAAAAAAAAAAAAAAAAAGACGAGATTGGCAAGGACCATGAGGTTGTCCAGGTGGCCAGCATGGAAAAAGAATTAAAGGGAAGGAAGGAGACAAGTGATAGACATGGGAGTCCTGTAGAAACAGAAGAGAAGGGCTAGGGACATGGCTTAGTGGCACAGCGCCTGCCTGGCAAGCATGAGGTCCTGAGTTCAACTCTTGGTACCAAAAGAAAAAGGAATCAAGGAATATGGCAGCCAGACATGGTAGCGCATGCCTGTAATCCCAGCACTTGGGAGGCTGAGGCAGGAGGATCACTGCAAGTTCAAAACCAGCATAGTCTATAAAGTGAGCTCAAGGCCTGCCTGAATTGCATAGCAAGACTCTGTCTCAAAAAGACAAAAAAAAAAAAAAACAAAAAAAAAACACAGAAAGGAATATGGTTTTACCCCAGGTGCTGTGAGAGGCCTCTGGTGGACAGGAGTATGGATGAATCAATAACATGGTCAAATGCATTCCTTTAAGGAAAGTACTCTGATTGATTGGAGATTGGAGAATGGGGTATGCAGCTGGGTAGGGGAATAAGAAGGGGAACAGGGGCCACTTGTGAGCCATAATCCAATCAAGAGGTCATAGTGGTTTGGACCTCAGGTAGCAGTGTGGATAGAGAGAAGGGGATAGCTTCAGGATGCCTGTAGGCCTTGGTAAGAGTTTTTCTACATTCTAGGCACATTGGGATTCCCACAAAAGGAGAGAAAAAGAAAAGAGAGAGAATATATCCTGGAAGGGGGCTGGCCTCCCACACTGTATCCTGGGGGCTCAAGCTTGATCCTGGAGGAGGGAGGAACTAAGTGGAAAGCCTCATGCAATCTGGGATCCTGCCTTGCCTTTCTTTTTTGGAAACTGGGTCCACTATGTAGCCCAGGCTGGCCTCGAACTCAAGGCAATCTTCCTACCTTAACTCTTGCAAGTGCTGGAGTCATAGGCATAGTACCACCATGCCCAGCCCAGGTTTCCTTTTATGGCAGTCCCCTCTTATTCAAAATTTTGCTTTCAGGCTGGGCATCAAGGTACATGCTTGTAATCCCAGCACTCGGGAGGCTGAAGCAGGAGGATTGCTGTGAGTTCTAGACCAGTTTGGGCTACAAAATGAGTTCAAGGCCAACCTGAACTGCATAGTGAAACCCTGTCTCAAAAAAAATTTTTTTTTGTTTTCCAAAGTGTTTTGGGTTTTTGTTGTTTTTTTTTTTTTTTTGAGACATGGTGTCACTATGTAGTTCCAGCTCTCCTTGAACTCATTGGATAGCTCAGGGTGGCCTTGATCTTACAGCAATCCTCTTACCCGAGCCTCCTGATTTCTGAGATTACAAGAGTGTGCCACCATGCCCGGTGGCATTCATAAATTTTAAACAGCTTTTTTTTGGAGGGCACTTAAACCCAGGGCATTCACACTAAGGCATATCCCCAGCCCTTTTTCTTTTTATCTTTTATTGTTGTGGAGAAGTGTTTTGGTTGGGTTGGGTTGGGTTGGATTGTTGTTGTCATTTGTTTTTTTGTTTTTGTTTTTGTTTTTGTTTTGGTATTTTTCCGGTACCAGGAATCGAACTCATGACCTTGCGCTTGCCAAGCAGGCGCTGTGCCGCTGAGCTAAATTCCCAGCCCCTGTCATCTGTTTTTTGAGACAGGGTTCACTAAGTCCCTAAATTGCCCAGGATGGCCTTGAACTCGTGACCCTCTTGCCTCAGGTTCCCAGAGTGCTGAGATTACAGGTAGGCACTGCCATGCCCTGTTTAAATAACTTTTATTATTGTATATTGCTATAATTGCTGTATTCACTGAGTTACTGTTAATCTCTTACTATGCCTAACTTGTAAATTAAACTTGGTTATGTGCCATTTAACAACACTTCAGTCAGTTATACCAACCATTATGGGCAGTTTCAGGCATCCATTAGGGGTATTAGAATATATCCACTTCCAAAGACGGGGACTGCTGTACCTCTCCATGGGGTCAGCACACTGCTCAAACTCCATCAACTCCCTAGAGTCATGAGGGACTTGGCAACCAGGGGCCCGACATCATGGTCCTACAGTGAGCACAGGGCCTGCCCTTAGTGGGCCCAGGTCCAAGAAATAAAACAGCTTTATTGGCAACTGCTTCCTTCTGGTGAGAACCACAAAGGGAAAGAGGCCCCCTCCCCTGAGAAATTCCAAGCCAGGTGAGGAAGCACAGTCCAGACCTCTGACCTTGACTGCAAAGCTGGGAATAGAGGGTGGGATTGGGAAAAGCTGAATGCCAAGGTCTAGTCTTAGTTATCTTCCTGTATCCTCACCACTGCCCTGCAAGATAACTCCATTGCACCCACTTTTTGCAGGTGGACAGCTGAGGCTCTGAGCCTCAGGGTGCCATCGCTATATAAGCATACAGGAAATGTTGCCAGGCTTAGTGGCAACATTTGGAACCTCCAGTTCCTGGAGGGACCTCCAGTCTTTTTTTTGTCTTTTTTTTTTTATGTCTTTTTGAGACAGGGTCTCACTATGCACTTCAGGCTGGCTTTGAGCTCACTTTGTAGCCCAGGCTGGTCTCACACACTTAATGATCCTCCTGCCTCAGCCTCCCAAGTACTGGGATTACAGGTGTGTGCCACCATGTCTGGTTCCCCTGTCTTTTAAAACCTTCACTGCTTGCTGCCTTCTGGTCTCACCAGTGCCCCTCCTCTCAGCCAAAACCTGTTCATTCAGAGCGGACCTTTCTGTGCCACCTCCCAGGCCTTCCATCAGAAGGGACCTCTCCTCTTCCTTCTCTGGGACTCCAGGCCCTTGCTCAAAGCTATCACATGGAGGGAGCTCCTTCCTCCAATCAGCACAGAGTCCAGGGTGCTCACCTTCCGACCTCAGCCCCAGGTCCAGAGGGGGAGATACACAGGTGGCATCTGATCCCTAGGAGCTCACAGCACCCCGGGAAGGCGCTAAAAAAAATGCCAGAGAAGCCAGGCGAGGTGGCACACGCCTGTAATCCCAGACTCTGGAGGCTGAAACAGGAAAAACATTGCAAGTTTGAGGCCAGCCTGGGCTACAAAGTGAGCTCAAAGCCAGCCTGAACTGCATAGCGAGACCCTGTCTCAAAAAGGACATAAAAAAGAAAAAGAAAAATGCCAGAGGGTGGCAAGGGACTGGTGAAGTGTGCAGGGCCTGACAGAGCTGAGGCAGAGGCCAGAGATGGAAGGGGTTCCCCAGTAGGTGAGGAAATAGGGAAAAGAAGGTAGCTCTGGGGAGGTGAGAAATAGGCAATAGGCCCTCATACCCGATACAGCCAAATGGGCACCAGACTCCTGAGTTCACGGGCACCACAGAGCACTGCTAAGACGTTCTGTTTGACAGAAGAGGACACTGAGGCCCTGGGAAAGTGGCTTTCCCTGGTCACCCAGCTAGGAAGCCAGGCTCCAGGAGTTAGGCCCCATGTGGAGTGTGCTGGTAAGGCTCTGCCTTCACCTCTTCCTGCCACCTTGAAGCCTCATCTCCCCAGCCCTTCCCTTTCCCCAAACAGCACTCCAGGCCCACACCATCCCCCGCCTTTGCCTACACGGCTCCCTTTGTCTTGGGTGCCTTTGTTAGTTCCTTCCCCAGCAACCCCCATATCCATCTGGTAAGTGCTATTCATGCTTCCAGCCTCAGCCTACCACAACCCCTTGTTTGGGTAACTCAGGCTGTGTG